ACTGGCTCAGAAAGAAAAAAAATTAATTTAGGTTTTTTTTTTTAAATGGAAGGGTATTGAATTTGGGACCATAATAGACTGTGAGCATTTTCTGTTTCCAGTGGGACATTTAGCCAACTAAATGTCTGAGAGTCATTGAAGTCTGGATCCCTCCAGGTCCTTCCAGCCACTGAGGAGCCTGGGTTGCCATTATGTACAGCTTTCCTCAGGACCTGGGATCCCCGTCTTTAATGTAAGTCACCTGGAACTGTCTTTTTTTCTAACTTTGTATTTTTCCAATCACTCTAAGCTATCTAGTCTTCTTTCTCTACCACCTACCTCTTAGATGCATATTTTATGCATTTTCAGGCAAGTTCATATCATTTTATAAGTACTTATTGATACGTATTTTTCTCTCAACATTTGCATTTGTTGGTTTGGAATGCATTCCTAGATCTTCCATATTATTTTTATTTCTGGCCATGAAGCTTCACTATGTGGCTGAACAGATAACAGCCAATTATTTACTGAGCACTTTTGTTGTAAGTACATTACACTGTCATAAACACATAGTGTATTAACTACTTAAGTTTCAAGTCAACTCTATGAAACAATACCCTTTTTACCCCCATTTAATAGAGGATGAAACAGAGACAGAGAAAAGTAAATGTGCAATACCCAAGGTCACATGGATTATAAGTGCTAAAGCTAGAATTCAATATCCAGCTGTCTAATTCTAATTCAACCCTCTTAACCACTACACCATTCTCTCTCTCAGAGATTTCTACACTTTTTTCTTTCTTCTCCCTTACAGGAAGCTAGGAGGGCTACCATTTATGACCAGCCAGCAAGTGGTGTCTTCAAGATGTGTTGATACAAAAAGTCCAATGGAAATGTGTGGTTTGGAGTGAGGATAAGATTAGCAAGAAATATTCTCATTCTATAACCACAGTCCAGGGAATACAAGCAACCATAGTAATAGTATAACAAAGTATAAGACATAGCTCGTTATATAATGAGTCTATAATCATGTTTGGGTGTTTTACAGAGTAAATATGAAACAATTGGAGCACAGTTGCATTTCTAGTGATATAGGGCTAACTTTATAAGTAGGCACAGTTTAGCAATTGAAAATATGAGATGGAATGGAAAACGCAGGAAAAAGAAACAAGAACTATTACCCAAAACTGCCAAAGATAGAGTAATACTATGGATCTTCATCCTATTTATGAATACATATGCAAAGATTACAAAGTATATCCAAACTATATACTGAAGTGATATAAATTATTTCATAAATACATGAAATTCCAAATTAATACTTGGAAATCTATTAATATATGAACCAAATAGGTAGCAAAAATAACCTACATTGTCATCTAACTAGATGCCAAAAAGCATTTGATAGAATGCAACATTCATTCTTTGTAAAAACTCATAGTAATCTAGACACAGGAGGATACATCAATAAGATGATAAAGAGTTACTCCCTCAAACTATTGGTCAACATAATTCCAAATAGTTAGACTCTAGAGGTCTTTCCCAAAAATTCAAAGCTACTATTATTACTATTTAACATTTTTCCCCTGAAAGATCCAATTACAGAGTAGAATAAGAAAAATAAATGGCATTATGTGTACTATCATGTTTCAAATTCAATCATACTTTAACAATTTCTATAATTCTTTTCCTCTGGAATTGGAATTCTGGCATGTGGTGGTGTGGGTTATGAGAGAACATACCATCACATGGAATATCACCAGTGCAAACTGGAGAAGAGGTAAGGACAAGAGGCAAAGCTCATGATAAAATATTAAACCAAAAAGGAAGTTTCATAATAATATAAGCAATTACAATTTTGCATATGTATCGTAGCAAAGAGCTACACCAAAATGTTTACTATGGTTTTCTATGGAATGTGGGGCTTGGGGCATTAATAATTTTCTTTACTTCTCCATATTTCCCAAATTGTGCTTAATTAACCTATATATTACACACGGAGCTGCTGGTGGTTTCAAACTGCTGACCTTTCAGTTAGCAGTCCACTACTGTAACCATTGTGCAGCAGGGCTCCTGTATATATTATGACTATAAAAATAAAATATTTTCAAATTTTCCTTGGAAGGGAATGGTGGCAAGGACTTCTAGAACTTTGACCCTCAAACCAAAAACCCAAACCCACTGTCGTCGAGTCAATTCCGACTCATAGCGACCTTATAGGACAGAGTAGAGCTGCCCTATAGGGTTTTCAAGGCTGCAATCTTTATGGAAGCAGACTGCCACATCTATCTTCTGCAGAGCAGCTGGTGGGTTTGAGCCACCGTCCTTTTGGTTAGAAGCTGAGCACTTTAACCACTGCACTACCAGGACTCCTTGGAAGGGAATGGCAAGGATTTCCAGAAGTTTGACCCTAGTTTTCTCTACAACTCAAGAAGGAAGTACAACAGTCAATGGATGGGAAATTGGAGAGGAGATTTCTCTTGTTTATTATTACATAGACTAATTTAATGCTATTTAGTGCTCTGATTTCAACCAATAAATCTCAGACATACATTCATTATTAAAAGATATAATGACGTAGCCTCAATTCTTGCAAAAGGATTCTAGAGCCCACCATTTAGAGTATGGCCAAGCACAGATGAGATGCACAATAAGGCATCCAATAGTATCACACAATGAAAAGAAATACAGAGAAGATACCTGGTGGGTCAAAGGGAGCATGGGGAAACAGTGGAGGATTCTGTTACCGCTGCTTCTTTCTTTCTTTCTGCCTTAAAGAAGTAAAATTTCAGTTTTTTGATTCTCCCGGTTTTGTCTGTCTCTCCCCAAAGGCTCTGTCCTTAGATTGGTCCCCACCATTGGACATCACCTATAAAAGGAAAGCAAACTCTGCTTGAGAACAATGGTTCATGAAGCATTCACGACTCTTCACCCCATGTTTACCAAGAGGAGAGAATAGTAGTTTGTAAAGAAAATTTACTCACCCAGACTCCCTGATTTAACCCAAGCAATCTCTTGAAACAGGCTATACCCACTTACCGTGGAAGGTTTCCTCATGAGGAAGTTTTCAGCACCAAATATTGTATCTTACATCCTACTGCTTATAAAATACCTTTGTTCATCACAATATGAGACATCTCTGGCAGGAGATTCCCAGCGCTTTTCGAATTAAATGAGTACCTATAAGCCCCAAAAGGAGCTGATAAGGAGCAATACTAGGCCTGTTAGAATTAAGTCATCTTTCCCTTTAGCTACATGATTTTGAGAATTATCTTTTTTTTTTTCTCTGATATTGCTGTGAGGGTACCAAGTTCAGTTCTTTGTTTCTGGGAATACAACTGAAGGTTTGAGATTTTAACTTGTATTTTTGTTGTTTTAAGTGCCGTTGAGTCGATTCCAGCTCATAGCGACCCTATGTACAACACAACGAAACACTTACTGGTTCTGCGCTATCCTCACAATCATTACTATGTTTGAGCCCATTTAACTTGTAGTAGCTTCTGTATGAGCAATAGGCTTACTGCTGGTATTAATTCATTCAGGTTCTTATCCTAAATGTTCTAATAATTTCTAGAAGCCTCTTACCCCTTTCTTCTGAACCTAGTAAGGTGTCTTTGCAGAAGTACTATATCTTAATGGAAAGAGCAACTGTCTTGGAATTAGAAGGCCTAAAGTTCGTTCTTAACTTTGTGAATTGTTAACTGGGCAGACTTTGGGCCAAACACTTAACATCTCTGAGCATAATGTGTCTCATATAAAATGGGGTAGCAGTACCTACTTTATAGGGCTGTTGTGAGGATTAACATAACATACCTGAAAGTTCTTGGCACAGAAAAAACAAAACAAAACAAACCAAATCCGTTGCTGCTGAGACAATTCCAATTCATAGAGACCCTATAAGACAGAGTAAAACTGCCCCATAGGGTTTCCAAGGAGCGCCTGGTGGATTCAAACTGCCGACGATTTTTAGCAACCGTAGCTGTTAACTACTATGCCACCAAGGTTTCTGTGTGCAATATAGTTTGGTTAGTGTAATCTAACTCCTAGGCTTATGTTCTTTCATTTTCCATGGTAAAGAGAAACAACTAACTTAAAGTGATGTTTATAATTATCCAAGATATTTCCTTCATCTATTAATCCTATGATTTTTTTCCCACTGTTGTATTCAAAACTTTTCAAGTAAAATCAGTTATTCAGAATTCCTGGTTTCCATGTCCACTCTCCTTTCTGAAAATAACTCTTCCCAACTTTGCTCTAATCCACCTCATTTAAACATCAGTGTAGGATCCTCAACTTCTCATGTACAATAGATAACATGGTTGATTGAGACTTCAGCTTTCAAATCAAG